CTATGCCCCAAGATGACTAGATTAGAAAGCGAGGCCTTAGGAGGTGTTTAGCCCATAAGAATGGAGCCCTCATGACTGGGATTAGTGTTCTTATAAAGAGGCTCAAGAAAACACCCCTGTCCCTTCCACTACGTGAGGTCACAGCGCGAAGGCTCCATCTATGAACCAGAAAGTGGGTCCTCACCAGACACAGATTCTGCCAAGTCTTGATCTTGACTTACAGCCTTCACAACTGTGATCAATAAATGTCTGTGGCTTATAAGTCACCCACTCTATGGTATTTTGCTACAGCAGCCCAGCAGTTCCATACCAACATCACCTCCACCAGAAAGCCTTCCTAGCTGGCCTTCCCAGCCCAGTGTGGGTTGAGTGCCTTCCTAGGTGCTTTCGATACTCCTCACACTGTATAACAACTTGTTTTTGAGTTTCCTTCAGCACCACAATACAACATTTGTGAAAGCATATGCAGTACCACATTACTCATCGTCTTCACTTCTGGCAGGGCCTGGCACCTGATAGACACACATGAAATACTTGTTGAATGAACAAATAAACACCCTGGAAGCCAATGACACAGTCTGCTCCTCTGCTTCAACCTTTCTTCTGTTGGCTGGAGTTGGATTTTACAACGCCGAACACAACTTACAACTGACCAAAGGCTGCACAGAGCACAATGAGGGGAAATCAGCAGAATCTGCCACCGCTTCCCCCACCCTGTCCCAGCCTCTAGCGCACCATCCCAAGTTTAGCTTGAGCATCATCTCCTCTTCGCATGTGGTACAAAGCATGACCTTGCATCGGACAGATGTGGTTCCCATTAAGTGACTCTGATCAGCTTACTCAGTTTGCTTAACTATAAAATGAGGACGAGAACCTCCCATGAGGATGTCATAAGGAATAAATGTGATTTCACATGGGATGTACTCAGTAAATATTATTTCCATGCTCTGTCCCCCCATGAAGCATGGTACTCCTCCTTTATGCTACAGGGGATACATTTCTATCCATAGCTCTTGCACTGGGCAAAAGGAGATCATGTGATTCTACCAGGAAAGAGGGGAAGAAACAGGCATCACAAATATCTAACTGGGTTGGTCTCTCTTAGATTGAAGACCACCCCCCCCCCCCCGAATGCCTGCAAACAGCAGCAACAATGCCACTTAATTCCAGGAATATAGCTCTTCCATTAAGACTAGACGGTGCCTTCTCCAGAAGAAAGAGCACTGTGCATCCACCTACTTCCTAGGTAGCAGTAAGAGCATTGCATGCTATTCCTGCTGGTAAAGAGATGAAGTTAGAGTCTGAGCACCAACCACTACTGCCTCTGCCTATGAGCAGTGCCTGTCCTCTTCCCCACTTCAGAGGGTAAAGCTGAGACGGGGGAAGCTTCTTTGGGATCTAGAAAAGTCTGAGGAATGGCATGGACGGCTGGTCATGGAACCATGGAACAGCACAGATAGGGGTCGAGCTCAGGACTCTGGGTAGGAAATGGGCACTGAGAAGACAGAGCCTAGAGGTACAGGGCCCACATTCTAGGCTAAGATCTGTAAGGTGCTTCCCAGTGTTGCTATATAAGATACGACCACCTCCATTTCCTTCACCTGAACTGCTCCATGAACCAAAGAACTGTGAACCCCTCCATGGAGGCAGAGCATGCATCTGACTCTGGCAAGGCGAAAAAGGTTTGGGAAAAGAAAGGGAAGTGCTTCTCTACATTCCAGGCCTAAGGGTTCAAACCTCCCAAACAGGAACTCACAGCAGAGTCACCTTGGGTTAGCAGGTGTCCTCAGCAGTGGGGACACTGGGGAGAGTGCCTAAGATGACTTATCAGATAAAGGTAATGTCACAACCTCTGGCTTACCCACCACTCTCAACCCCACCCAGGACAGTGAGATACCCTTGTCAGGCAGAAAAGGTGGAGCCATTGAAGCTGTGTTAGACACTTGTCACACTGCTGTGACTTCCCAGCTGGGAGGAGGCTTTATTTATTCATCTCAGCACTCCTAAAGCCTGATGCATGGTTTACCACATAGCAAATTCTTGAAGTATCAATATTTATTGAATGAATATTTTATGAATGAATAAAAGAATGTGTGAGTTAGGAGCATTCAGGAATGAGAATTTGAGCAAAAAGCTTAATAAAGAAAAAGACTGAAGCACAAGACTATTATGATTATCTGCAACTAGGATTGTTAATATCATCATCCTTCCATTGCCAAGAATGAGTCAAGCATACCATACAGGACTATATTTTTAAGTGTTTTATATTGTTGTCATAGGAAGGCCAGATTTATGGATCTTGGGCTACATCAAAGCATCTAGACAAGAAAAGCAAGACAGAGGGCTGACAGTTCCCTACACAATTATGGAGAATAGCACTGGACCAGCACTGCCAGTAGCTTGGACCCCAAAGGGTGCAATCAACACCCTCTGAAAGCACCTGTCCTTACCCTTAGGAGCCTGAGACACCACATTCAGTCATGGCTCATGCACGTGGAAGAATACAGGAGTCCCATGCACATATCTATGTCCACATGGCAAGTTCTTTCCAGAGGACGAGAACAAGGTGATCTTGAGGAGTGTTTTCTGGCTTCTCTCAAAGTAAGGCCATAAATGCCCCCCATGCCATTGGATCTCTAGCTTCCAGCTATCCATCCAAACAGGTCCTGCTACAGGGTTGCAGGGCCTGATTTGACATTCATGTATATCATTAACAATAATGACATTAAATATGAATACCCTGGAAGCCACCTCATAGTGAGTGCATTAGCATGGAAATGAATAAAGTAGCATATTTACACAATGAAATATTAATAGCAGTCAAAATGAAAGAACCAGATTTATATTTAGCTCCAAAGAATAATGCTAATCTTAAAGGTTTTAAAAGGACATATGTGATGTGGAAGGGCTGTCAGTTTAAAAAAACTTTCAAAATAACATCTGGCTGTAGAAAAATGTATACACAATAGAAGCAGTAAATATGTATAGGAATGATACCATCACCTCCAAGACAGAAATTACCCTGAAGAGGAAGGAGAGAGAAAAGAAGATAGGATAAGGTAGGTAGTGGAGGAGGATTTAGTTATTTTTTTCTTTTGCTTATTTTTCTCAACATTTTCTTATGAAAGGTTTCAAATATAAAGCTGAAAACTTTACATAGTGAACACCATGCATGCACACTGAGAGATGCTACTATTAACATTGTACTATATTTGCGTTAGCACCCATCTCCCCATCCATTAATATATCTGATATTTTATGCAATTCAAAGACTATTGCAGACATCACACACTGACCTCAAATCCTCCAGTGTGCATATCGTTAACTAGAGTTCAACTTTTTTTTACCTTTTTTCTTTTGATATAAACTGACACATCATGAAACACACAAATCTCCACTGAATATCTACTGAGTTTTAACAAAAGTATACACCTGTGTGGCCCAAACCTCCACTAAGTTGTACAACATGACCATCACCTACAAAATTCCTGTATGTCCTTTTCCAATCAAACCTCATCCCAGCCTCTCCAAAGAGAGCCAATGCTCTGACTTTTTCCATCATAGATTGGTTTTGCTTATAGTAGGATTTCGTATAAATGGAATATGCCCTTTTGGGTAAGGCTCCTTTCACATAGCATAATGTATCTGAGATTCACCCTTGTTGTGTGTATGAGCAATTTGTTCATTTTTTGTTGCAGAGTACTGTTCCATTAGTAAGAAAATACCACTATTTCTTTGTCCATTCTCCTGTAATGCCCACTTGTGCTCTTTCTATTTTTTTCCTAGGAACATTTTTGTATAGGTCTTTTTGTGACCATAGTTTTATATTTTTCTTAAATAAATAACTAGGGTTGAAACAGCTGGGCAAAGTGTGTGTTTAGTTTTATAAGAAAGTGCTAGACCTTTCTCCAAAGTCACTGCACTATTTTATAGTCTCACCAACAAGGCATGAGCATTCCAGTTGCTTCAGATCTTGCAAACATTCAGTGCTGTTTTCTTAACTTGAACCATTCTGATGAATGTAAAGTGCTACCTCATTGTGGTTTGGAATTACATTTCTCTATTGACTGATAATGTCAATGTGCACTATTTTTAAAAACATTGTATTTCCTTTAAGTAAAAGAGCAAGAAACAGAAAGAGAGAGGCAGGGTCAGCAGGGATGGGTGGAGGTCTGGAGCAAAAGCAAAGTATTTATATTTATGCATGGGTGTGATAGGTTCTAAATTATTTTCTGTGTGTTTGAAGTTTTTTGCAATTAAAAATAAAAATATCATTCCATCTATAAACGTATGTCCTTAAAACCCAGGATGGGCTTGGAGGCACAGCTTCTGGGAATGGAAGGAGGCCCAGTGGGTAGCAGGGCAGGGGCCACTGAAGGGGCTCTGCCACCGAAGGACGGCATCTTCCCAAAGTTGCTGAGCTCTACCTGCCTCAGGGTCATGCCCTGGTGGCCCTGGCTTTGCTCCTAACCAGCTCTCACTTCTGTCTCAGCTCACCTCTGCTGGACCAGGGTGTCTCCTGAGGCTAATCTCGTAGTGCTCCCTCCCCTTACCCTCCATGGACTGGGCTTGAGTGACAGTGCTCCTCTCCCAAAAGTCTGAGCCTGGCCTGGTGTTCTGTAGTATTAACTCCTCAAAGGAATTCCTATTGATGTTGACATGCAGCTCCCAAATCAATGCCAAATATTTCCAAATACAGCTTTCTTAAGAGTTTAAAAGCAAAAGATGCCCAGATCCTTCAGTGTACTCAAATATGGTATCTGAAGGCACATGTTGCTGCTTCCTCAGATGGACACTATCTGGTTTTACCTACTTTATACTTGGTTGTAATTTGAAACCACTCCAGATCCTTTTACCAAACGTGAGTAGTTACTACAATATCTCTGAAAGGGAGACAAGAATACCCATCCTCTGAGATCCCAATTTCTACAACCTCCCACATGGGGTGATGAGAGCAGAGAGGAGGCCTATGGCAGCATGTGGGGACATGGGGCACTTACCGCTGGCACTCGCCAGCATGCAGGATGAGCTCTTCATTGCTCCTGGCACTGACTGTCAGCTCGTGCTCTGTGGAGTTGAAGACATCCAGGAGCAGGTGGCACTGCCGGGTACTGTGTCGAAAGACAGAAGAAAGTTCAGAATCCTCCAATAGCCAAAGAGGAGCAACAGTGCCTTTTTCTCCTCTCCAAAGATTTTCCACTATGTAAGATGTGCACAGGAAAATTTATCAGAGTCAAATACCCCTGGACTCAGATGGTAACTGAGACTTGCAAACTCTAAGAAGTAGGTTTGAGCATCAGGTCCTCCTTGTTCCTGGAGACACAAGCTCACAACTCAATCATACTTTTTACAAACCAAGTGACTGGAAAGCTATTTGAGTTCTCCAAACCTCAGTATATGAAAAGGACTAGAATCCGGACCCTTAAGTGAGATCATTGATGGGGAAACACTAGGCATACAGTGCCACTCAGTAATGATATGTCCGAGTAGGAACTAGGCACTGGAGCATGAAAACTTGTATCCTAGGTGTCTATGTATACACATCAGCCATGAGCTTCTCATACAGGGACTCCTTCTTACTCCCCTTTAGAACTGTGGCAGATAATGTAGGTTTACTCGCCACTCATTTGAAACCTCTTCATCTCTATTTACTACAGAGTTAGAAAGTAAAATATTCAAGTTCCCATCACTCCTCACCAGAGGTAGTCCATGTGGCAAAGTTCTACCAATAAGACTTTGGGAATTTCCATCCCAAATAAAGAAGACAATGCCTTGAGAGGAGAAGACTTTTATCCCCCAGTCTCTCTCATTTTTTTCCTTCATTCCTAGAAATGACCTGGATGCCTTAGAAGCTCAGCAACCATTCAGGGACGATGAAGACAAAAACTACAGGCTACACATGACAGAGTAGGGGTCAGGAGGAGCCTGATGACATTCTTGAACATCTGTAGCAACCCCCACTGCTTCTCTCCCTCTAGACTTATTAGCTACATGTGCAAAATGAAAAAACCAACAACACACATGTCATTTGTGTTAGTCATCATTTGTTAGGTTTCCATTACAGTTGAATGCTTATCTAAAGCTAACACAGTATCTCAGATACCAAGTATCACAGCTAGCACATGACAGGTAATCAATAAATGTCTGTTGATCTAAACAGTACACCTGTACCCATGACAGGACAGACAGAGATGACAGCAACAGAGCAGAAGTCATTCTTCTTGGAGGAGAAGGATAAATAGTTTTTCATGGGGGAGGGGGGAACTCAGAGACCAAGATCTGTGCTCTGGGTCATTTTTAGCTTAGTGTGACTTCAGAAAATGTTCTTCCAAAAGACATTTGAATTCTCAAGTGTATTTCCCAAAGTGAAGACCAAGGCTTTGCTGTCTGTTAAAAGGAAGTCCAGTCAAAGGAAAAAGGAAGAAGGACTGGCACACACGGTGCTCCCAGGTTGCCCTTGCTTTGTGATTTTATCATGATATCCCTCTGAGGTAGTCTTTACTAGCTCTGTTGACAATGGGGAACGGGAGGCTCAGAGAAGACAAGCACACTGGTGTGATGCCCAAGACCCTAGATGTCAAGCTCAAAACTCTTGGCTTTTCATGGTAAATGAGGACCCTGTATTCCAAAGCAACACCTTTCCTTGGCTCTTTCTAGAGAAGGGAACTGAGGTGCAGAAGGGTACAGCGACATGCCCAGGACTCGTACACACACACACACACTTGTGCTCACGCATACAAACATTGTCAAAATGCCACAGGGCATCTTTGAGATATCAATTTTTCAGAATGTGGGTGTGTGACCTACTCTCCAAAGGCAAGGTAGAGAGCAGTGTTGCCATTTTTATCATGTACTACGGTGTCGACAAGATACTGCACATCATAGATGACAGTTCACATTGGTTAAGTCTGGGTTTTGGGGGTGGGATTGTCTTCCCCAGAGGTTTGGCACTTGGAAAATATTCATTAGCTCTGACAGCTGCCTACAAGAGGCCTCCTCACTCAGTTCATAGATAAATGAGTTTCCAAGAATGAAGATCTATTTCACCGTTGTCATAACTTCATGAAATCTTTAATCACAGCAAAATCTTTCATCAGAAAAGGGAACTCGTAAAACATTTATCAGAGGAGGAAAATTGAAGTGATTTTTAAAAGCCTGGAATAAAAGGTTCAAATATATGTTGTTTTCACTCACAGGATATAGCACTTAGAAAACTGCAGAGAAATGAACAGCATCAATACACAATACATTGTTGTCCTTTTTTTTCCCCTGACTCACTGTCTGAGTGTGGGGGCGTCTTGATCTAGTGTTTCTATTCCTTCTAATTGTTGACACTATGATATATTGGTGGATGTTGGCTTTCTGTTAGTCATAAATGAATTTCCTTTTCTAGACTGCAGTAGCATTTCGTGCCCACCATAATGTCATTTACTCTGTGTATCTATCCATATCACTTTGAATGATTTGCTTCAAGGGTTATGTTCTCTTTGCACATACGGTTTACTTTTAATTCTTGTTTGCTTTTTGTTTCTGTTTGTTTGTTTCTGGATCTATCTTTCTGAAGTATGAGAAAATCCAAGAAAGCTTCCTGGAAGAACTGAGATCACAGTAAGTCTCTGAGGGACAGATACATTTGTCTGGCTTAGAAGAGAGATGGAAACCCAAGTCCAGAAACATGGAGGAGCAGGATTATTTGGGAAATTTGGAGTCAAGTTGAGTAAGGGAGATCAGACTGTCAGGTAAAAAGGAAAAGCCCATTCTAGGCAAAGGAAGCAGTGTGTGTAAAACCACCTTGATAGAGTAAGTCCTCAGTCAAGAATTGGGGATGTTATTAATTAAATCATCTGATAAATATCTCCTGAGGCCCTCCCTACATGCCAGGTAGTGTTCCAAGCACTTGGGATATGAAAGTGAACCAGAAAGACAAGATCCCTGCTTTTGTGGATATTATGCTCTCTTGAGGGGGAGGAACAGGAAAGATGGAGAAGTTAAAAAATAAAAATCTGTCATTTTTTGTAAAATTAGAAAAAACAGGCTCAAAAAGATTGCTGAATAAAAGATAAAGATACACAATAACAGTCCCATATATAAACTAAAAATAGAATTACAAGATAAAATGTTTCAGAAAATAAATTTATAATAGCAATGCAGCCCACAATGCACATAAAAGTAAATCTAACAAAATATATGCAAGACATTTACGTAAAAAATTATAAAGTTTTATGAAACAGTATCAAAGAAGACAAATAAATGCAGAGATATACAGGTTGAATATCCCTTATCCAAATGCCTGGGACCAGATGTGTTTCAAATTTTGGAATATTCACATTATACTTACCAGTTAATTGTCCCAACCCCAAAATCTGAAATCCAAACTATCCCAGTGAGCATTTTCTTTGTACATCATGTTGGTGTTCAAAAAGTTTCAAACTCTGGACCATTTCAAGTTTCAGACTTTTGCATTTGGCATGCTCAACTTGAGTAATGTTCAAAGATGGAAAGACTAAATTTTTTTTTTAAGAGTCAGAGTCTCACTCTGTCACTCAGGCTGCAGTGCCCGGGTGCTGGGCAGCCACCGCAGCCTCGACCTGCTGGGCTCAGGAGATCCTTCCACCTCAGCCTTCCAAGCTGTAATGATGAAGACAGTGATACGAGGGTAATGGTGGATAAATACATTAATGGAAGAAAAGACAGTTCCAAAGCAGAATCATGACTATACAGGAAATAAAGATATGACTAAGACGTTGGTGTTAATTAATGAGGACAAGATTCATTGAATAGTGCTGGGACAAATGATTATATAGCTAGATTAAAAATTACATCCCTACCTGACGCTATAAACAAAAATAAATTCCAAATAGAATTAATATCTAACTAAATATAAAAAAGAATTTTATAAATCTTTAGAAAAAATATAGGTAAATAATTCATGACCTTGGAAAAGAGAAAAATTCTTCAAATAAGTTACAAGACATATAAATTATCAGAGAAAAGATTAAAATGTTTGGCTACTTTAAATTAAGAACTTGGTACAATGAAAAATATTAAAAACCAAAGCAAAGACAATCTTTGTTTTCAGTGTGTTGCAAAAACCTTTACACAAGTGGTAAACTGACAAAGGATTTGAATTCTGAATTGATATGAACTCCTATAAATTAATTTAAAAATTACCCAATAGAAAATGAAGCAAAGGACAAGAATCAACAATTTAAAATAGAAGAAACTAAATGGCTAATAAACAAGAATTTAAGCTCAATTCAACTCGTAGTTAGAGAAAAGGAAATAAAATCCTAAGATATTATTCCCTACCCACTCTACCTGAAATATTTAAAAAGTGTTCTGGTGCCAAGTACTGGTCAAGCTATAGATCAACAGGAAATATGGGAATTCTCATTCACTAGTAGTAAAAATATAAATTGGTACAACTCCTTCAGAGAGAAAATTGGAATAATCTAGTCAAGCTGTGGATGAGTACCCTTTGACCTAACAATTCCACTTACAGGAATATATCTTGGGTGAACTCAGAGTTTGGTAGAAGGACACATTTAAAAGTGGTCAATGCACCGGGCTCAGTGGCTCAGCCTGTAATCCTGCGCTTTGGGAGGCTGAGGTGAGTGGATTGCCTGAGCCCGCGGGTTTGAGACCCGCCTGAGCAACTTGGCGAGACCTCATCTCTACAATAAATCAAAAAATTAGCGAGGCGTAGTGGCACGCTCCTGTAGTTCAGCTACTTGGAAGGCTGAGGCGGAAGGATCACCGGAGCCCAGCGGGTGGAGGCTGCGGTGGCCGGGAGCGGCCACTGCACTCCAGTCTGGGTGACAGAGTGAGACTCCAACTCAAAAAAAATAAAAAAATTAAAAATAAAAAAAAATAAAAGTGGTCAATGCAACAATGTTTATAAAAGCAAGGAACAGCTTTTAACTAAGTATACATCAACTGGAGAGTAGATATAATCAAACAATGGTAAAGTTATAGATAAAAACCTATTCAGACATGAAAATTAATTTAAAAGAACTATATTCCTCACCACAGATAAATCTCATGTTAATAACAATGGGTAAATAAGTTGCAGAAAATACCACATAATATAAACATACAGTAAGTTTAAAAA